CAAATAATCCTCAGGTGTTGCTGGTTATTTTCAATTTATTTCGAACGTTTCAGTTCCTTTTGGAGTCTTTCTCAGCGAATACAAATTTTCAATGACACGTCATGTTGTACATACACATCAATTTTAAATGACACGTCATGTTGTACACACATGAATTCTTAGTCAGAAAAACTATATATATCTATTATACAATGTAATGTTTTCACTCAATGTTATAAATGTGAATCGTTATTTCTGAGCTTCGTTTTTTATCGCTTTCCATTGAATGTAATGTATGCTGCATTTCTGGCAATCTGCAATTAACTTGCTCTCAATGGAAGATCTTTGAATTTGTATTCGCTGAGGAAGACTTCAAAAGTAGCTGAAACATTCGAAATTTAAAATAACCAGCTGAGGACTATCTGCTTCTTCTATCTCTCCGCTCTTACAACAGCTGAACAGCGTATGACTCTTAGCCTTATCTAACTCTTATTTATATTTTATATATATTTAAATTTGTATCGTTGAATCTTGAATTTTTGTTTAATAATAGGTAATTGTTCAATATGTTCATCTGTTAGGCAGTGTCGACAATTTCGGCTTTTTGTACCACTTACTACCAGCGCGAAGTGCTTTTCTGTTTTTCCGTCAAGGTGTGAACGCGTCCTTATTAAAATAACTCTATGGGTGTGGTCGAGTTGCCACTACGAATGCTTCGAAGCATTTGATTAACCAATCGGAAGAAAGAATTTTACTAATTTACCGATCAAAAAATGCTTCGAAGCATTCGTAGCGGCAACTTGACCGCATCCTATAGCAATGGAATAACGAAAAAAGTAACGTAAAGTTTCGTTATTAGTTCCTAAAAATTGTGATTTAGTTTGCGTTACTGTTACTCACTAGGAAAAGTAATTCCATTACTCATTCGTTACTAAAATAAGTAACGAAATCAGTAACTTCGTTACTTTTTTATGTAACGCTAACAATCCTGAGCATATCATAATCATGGTGGAAGTATATCATGGTGAAGATATTTCCACCATACCATAATAATTTTTTGTACATATATGTACTTTTTGTTATGTATAGTCAGGACCTAAAAGGTTGCAACACATTTTTTTCGATGGGTTTTGGAATGCAGCTTGCTCATCAAGCGATTAGTTTTTATTCATGGATCAACAAATGAAAACCAATCGCTCGGTGAGTAGGCTGCATTCCGAAACCCATTTTAAAAAAAGTGTTGCAACTTTTTAGGTTCTGACAATACAAATCGACACGTATCGTCAGAACTCAGACGTGACATATGGACCACGTTACAATAGGTCTGTTTTCTGTGACTGAACTAGTGTACACTTTTGGAACTAAAAATGAGATAGATATACGTTTGATATTTGTTAAAAGCGAGAAAGAGAGTTCTAGAACAGTCTAGTGCAGGAACAAACAGACCATAAGCTAGACTCGGTTGATCCCGACTGAGATCTCGCTACTTTTGCGTAATCGCGTGCACGCGACCAAATAAGAACAGCTTATCATTGTACGACGCGCGGCGCGCCGTTAACGGCAACGTAAGTGTAAATAACGCAGGTGAAGAGGCCATCTACTAGTCATAACATAGTAATACTTGATGATGAGAAACGCGAATAGATGCGTTTGATATCACGCGGGCAATTAGCATGTATTGGAAAAAAACATACACATATATACAAAAAATAGAATAACATTACTGCACGGAGAGAATTTTCTTTTAAAATTTACCCTGAAAATATGGTGATTGTGGTACAATACAATATTTTAAAGATTTTTACCATGCACTTCAGTAAAATTGATCAAACTTATTTTATACTTTATTGTAGTTTTATTAATGAATGAGAGAGATTTATATCAAAATTCTTCGAAATACAATGTTGTCCCACGATTGTCATATTTTCAGGGTAAATTCTAAGAAAAAATTCTCTCCGTGTGTTTGTCGGCAAACTATAGGAGGCGTGTATATAAGAAAGGTGAAGGGTGACCGTATTTTTTTATACCCAATTACTGTAACGTACACTTGCGATTTGAGATGTTTAAAAAAACCTAATTGTATCTGTCACATGATAATTTGAAATGTTGTTTACACACGCGCGCGTGCGCGCGCTAAATTTTTTATGCGAGTCTGGAGATACTGGTAGTGTCTTGGCGTTAAGCTACGTATTAATTACATACTTAATTGTAAAAACAAATTGTGATAAACTGAAAAAATATCAAATTAAATAATATCTTGAGATTTCAAAACACTTAATAGATATCATGAAACGTTTTTAATACTTTTAGATTAAATATTGTACATATGCACATATGGACCTAAGATAAATTTCAATAATTTTCAAAAATCTACAATCACCAAAATGTCTTATAACTCTTGTTTATTCATAACTACTATCTCAAATTATGATGTCAGAAGCGAGAAAACACATATAATAAAAATTCTTGCAAAAATATTTGAATACAGATATTTTTCAATAAAATAACGACTGCAATCGATAGAATAGATTTCTAAAATATCAAAAACTTTATTTTCAGAAAAAAATCAAATTATATTTTCTTTTATATATAGCACACATATTACTTTGTCACAGTTAGAATATAGCTTACTTTTTGTTATACATAATTCATTTCCAGATATATAGTTATTTATTAATTATTAAATAATGAAATAACAAGAGAACTTTTATATTTTACAAGCAGGGTCCCTATTCTTGGAAAGAAACTTGTATACGAAAGACTAGGGATATACTATAGTATATGTGACGTATAGTACAGTATTTCTCTAGTTCATATACGCTTCTTTTCAAGAATAGAGATCCAGTTCTATTAAGTTCTTTTATTAATATTTTTATACATATTTCCATAGTACTCTTTGCAGGAATTTTTATCATGTATTTTCCCGTTTCTGATATCACAATCTGAATTGTGAGATAGTAGTAAAGATAGTGGTGAGAACACAAAAGCCTCGAAAAGAAAAAGCAAATGTTTATTATACCCTAATTTATAATCCTAATTTGAATAGTTTTCTTCTGTTATTTTATTTATCTTTTTGATGTTTATTTTATTTATTGAGGCGCCGCTGCATCTATGGAAATTTTTACTAATCGAGCAAGTTGTAGATATTAAAAAAATACGTTTCTTAGAAATCATCAATTATTTAGACGCGAAGTCATGAAATCTTATACTGTGGTTTATATAAGTCCTATTATCTATATTATGACCAGCTTTATTTTGCTGACTCTCGATTAGATTTTACAAGAAAATTATCATATGTTTATTGTAAATATTCAAGATTTTATATGATATTGCAAAATTTGTTCGACTCGGTGATATCTTCGGGTTGTCCGAGTTGTCTCCATGGAATCTTACAATGTTTGATGTCTTTACGGTATTCTTTTTGACATTATTCTTTCACGTATCTAGCGCATGATTATTTAAGCGATAAAATAATCCTATTTATACAAAATTAGACCGATGTTTCCCACACTGTTATTACGACGTTATATAGTTCTATAATCACACAATTTATATTGTAATGCAAATTGTAATATAATTACACAAAACAGTCTTTTTTTTCTTATTATATAATCAACCGACATGCGACTGTTGTTACTAATAAGAACTTTGTATTGCTAGGAAAGAAACATTTTAATGCAAAAAAAAAAACGAAAAATCTGATGAGAAAAGCCTGATATATGCAATATCAGCAAAAATCTCAAATACGTATACAATTAAGATACGATAATTTTCTTGTAAAATCTAAACGAAAGTCTAAAATTAAGCCTGTCATAGTTATATTCTACGCCTTAAAATAAAATATGAAATACCTGATGGTTTGTACACGGAGAGAATTTTTTCTTAGTTTACCTTGAAAATATGATAGTCGTGGGACAACATTGTATTTCCAATAATTTTAATGTGAATCTCTCTCATTCATTAATGAAACTACAATAAAGTATAAAATAAGTAATTTAATTAATTTTACTGAAGTGCATGGTAAAAATCTTTAAAATATTGTATTGTACCACAACTACCATATTTTCGAGGTAAATTTTAAAACAAAATTCTCTCCGTGTATAACAATCCACACAGCAAAAATATCCCGAATATATCATACGGATATCCTACAGACGTTACGGTATCTTTAAACGGTCTCTGTGATATAATTTGGACATTTCTGCTGTAGAGGAAAGATTGGAGACGTTTTTTTGTTGTGTTTCTCATCCATTTCGTTTCCCTTATATACACGCAACAGGGAGTCTCGAGCTACGAGCGTGCCCTCGGCTTTTCTGGGCGGGAAGATATCTATAATCATGTTTTTACCCGTCTGGCGGCGATAAAACATGTCGTACGATCCTCCAGTTGGCGCAGCCTCCAGTTTTACTTGATAATGAATCGAGTATGTGACACACCCTGCGTCCACACTCGCGGTTGCGAATGCAAAAATAAGTCTTCCTCCCCTTTCTGTTTTTTTCCCTCTTTGCTCTCTTTTTCTCAATCTGTCTCTGTCTCTCGCGTGCACAATTGCGGACGGTGTGGGTGGGGACATTATTCTACTCGAATCAGCGACGACCTCGATGGTTAGTCTTTCTTCTGACTCCTAATTTTTTGTTTTTGTTCTCCCCTCCCTTCGAACATTCTTTTGAAATGTGCTATTCAGAAATTGACCCAAAATAAAACACGTATACAAATTCACGTGAAACCATCTTCGATAAGGAGGAATTAGATAAAGACAATGCTAGATACGCCTGAAAACGATCTTTCCAAGGTTCCTGAGAGAGATGTTCTTCTAAATGCGTTAGAAGACTCAGTCGGTGGTTTCCGAAAATCTAAAGAAGAGAGCGATAATAGAGAGAGCGAGAACTTAAGACCGTGCCATCGCCTCTGAACTTGGCGCACTGAACTATATATCGGAGGATTATCAAAGGTCATCAATCACTGCATGGCAAGGTTATCGTCAGTATTATCGTTTTAAAAAAGGCGGGGAAGTTTTTGTACTCAATCAGCATGGCTTAACTGGCCAGTTCGTTTAAAACGTTATACGTCAACGGTGACGCTCCGCCACGCCGTCGACTTATCTGTTTGTGTCCGATTGAGATTTTCTATTCAAACGCGTTGGAGATTCCATTCGTTTGTCTTTGCTGCTACGGACGTGGATCTTTAAAGGACAGTGTTCTAGCGGATGATTTTTGATTTTGGAAACTGCTTTCCGAAAGACTCAGTTTTGATCGAGCCTAAATTAAAAATTGAGATTCTTCTCTGATTTTGACAAAAATTGAGATTGTTCAGTTAGCATCGATTATTGTCTCTTTCATCGATTACCTTGGCGGTTACCCTGGCGATCGGTATGACGATCCCGATGACCGACACCGCCTTGGATATAGAGAAGAAGGCGATCGGGCGTTGCGCTCAACGCAGTCATCGTCTTCGCATCTGGTTCTACTGCGGCATCTTCCTGATCAGTTCCGCCGGCTTTTACATGTTCTGGTACACAGACGCGATCAACAACTACGTGTTGTCGTCGATGGAATTGCGTAACGGCACTCTCATCTTCGACTGGTGGCAGCGCCCACCCTTGAAGATAAAATACAATGTCTATATCTTTAATTACACGAACGTGGACGAATTCGAGGCGAACGAGGCGAGCAAGCTGCGCGTCCAGGAGCTTGGTCCCTACAAATATCAAGAGACAATAAGTCGCACGAACGTGGTGTTACACGATAATGGCACGATCACTTATCAGACCAAGAGATCCTACGAATGGATAGGCGGGCGGCGACCCAAGGACGATATTGTCCTGGTGCCGAACGTGCCATTGATGTTCACCACCGCGTACGTCCGGGACCTGAGCTTCGCACTGCGATTCGTTACTAACACGGTGCTGTCGACTCTGCAGGAGCAGTCGTTTATCAACGAGACTGCCAATGGTTTCCTCTGGGGATACGACACTCAGCTCTTCCACATGGCCAAGCCGTTGTTAATGCTGCAGCGGGACATACCCTTTGAACAGTTCGGCATGCTGGCCATGGTGCGTGATTACATACGTTTAACCACGGAGTTTTGAATCTTATTGAAAATTTTATTTCTACTTATGTCAGTATTCATATAATCGGTTCTTATATTTAAGACAGTCTTAGGTAGAGTCTTAAGATCTCATAAGCCAATCATAGAGTCATATTAGCATATTAGTAATGTCTTAAAACGATCCAGGGAGAACAAGAAAGTTAAAATAATGTCAATTCAACGTCATATTGACCGAATTATATCACTTTTTTTTCTTAATTCAATCAATGTGACATTATTTTGACTTTTTTGTTCTTCTTGGAGAGAATAATTTAACTTAAATATCTTAATAAGAACTGATAATGAATATCGATTATAAAATACCAAACTTAAAATATTTACTTTATAACGATAAATGCTTTTTCCTAAAAAATAAACATAAACGAAAGGTGATTTTATCGCGGCGTTATAGTGAGATTGTCTTTTAGATATATTACGGTAATATGATCTTTCAATTATGATTAACGTGAAATGCACATTTTTAAAAATAGAAAACTGGTATCGATAAGGATCGCATCACGATACATACGGGATCGAAAAATCTCGGTGTGATCGACCGGGTGAACGGAGTGAAGAGCCAGGTCATTTGGGATGACGAGCAATGCGATAAAATTGAAGGCACTGAGGGTAGCATGTTTCCATCACATTTGATACAGGACACAAGTAAACCCCTTTACGTGTATGCTAAGGATATTTGCAGGACGATACCACTCCATTTCGCCGAACAAGTAATTACCTACGACATACCTTCTTTAAGGTAAATAAAAAGTTAAATTTTGCACTTTAATGTATCACGATTTAATTGCAAATTTTGATCGCTAAATAGAGAAAAGTTATATTATATTCCTGAATATTTTCAATCAGAGTCTCAGGATATTCTTTATATAAATATTTAAAAAATTTGTTATCATGAAATGATAATAATTGCATAGAAATATCGGTCACGAAAATATTTTTACATTTATTATTATTTATTTATACTTTTTTATTATTTATACTTTTGAGGCTTCCACGGGTACTTTCTATATAGAGGCTATCTGTTTCATGGATTATCTCTATGTATCTATATTTATTCTTGAAATACTAACATTTCATGAACGTTGCAGTTCACTTTATCGGGACGAGAAGCAGTCTGATACTGCTCCTCGCATTATAATAATAAATATTATTATTACTATAATTATAATAATAAATATTATTATTACTATAATTATAATAATAAATATAATAATAATTATTATGATTATCGTTTTATTAAAGAGATTCGTTTATAAAAAAAATAATTCGAAAATGAGAAAATACATTACTATTGTAGTTTTCTATTGGAAAATATAGTACATTAATTGAAGACACGTCTCTTGACATGTGTGATTTTCTTTCTCGTCTCAGGTATAAATTGACCCCAGATGCGTATAACTTCTCAAATAAGCAAAACGAATGCTTCTGCCCGAAAGTATATGATAAGAGAGTCTGTCCGCCCTCAGGACTCTTTAACGTGTCCGTGTGCAATGATGGCTCGCCCTTGCTCGTCTCATTTCCGCACTTTTATGGTGCCGACAAGTCTTTGCTGGAACAAATAGATGGTTTAAATCCTCGGCAGGAAGATCATGAGAACTACATGGACATACATCCGGTAAGTCAACACTAAATTTTAACTATTGTATTATATTATCACAATTCAATATTCATTTAACTTACAGAAATTTAATTTAATACTGACCAATTTAATGAAAGATTACTATAATTTTGAGTACTAAAAGCATTAAATAATAGTAGTTTTAATACACAAAACAGACAAGTAATTACATTTAATTACTGATCCTTCCAATACTAAATTTCTGTAAGGGTAGATTATCACGTTAATCGTTGTTATTTAAATCTCATGACTGATTTTCATTTCACGAGTTAATTTTGGAAGCTTTCTAGCAGAATAGAAGATCGACATAGAAGTCTGTCTTTGTTCAATATTTAGTGAGAGACAAAGATAGAATGACTATAATATAATAATTTGTGTCAAAGAATTGAGAAGCAACACCATCTCCAGTTTTATTACTACTTTTACAATCGAAAGCGAATAAAGATTAAACTAAAATTTTTATTTTTAGCGCTTAGCAATTCCCTTAGCCGGCTGGTCGAGGATGCAATTAAATCTGGAGGTGCGAAGGGCAATCGGCGTGCCGTTTCTCGGGAACCTGAAGGACGGCATGATTCTTCCACTTATCTGGGTCGAAATCGGAATAGCCGACCTTCCGGAACAGGTGTTGGAAGCCGTCCAGAGCGCGCATTTCACAGTGGGCAACATCGAATTGGCTTTGCAATGGGGTACTCTGATAACGATGATACTCTCCTTAAGTGCTATGATTGCTTGTCTCTGGAAATCTCGCTCGAAACAGGATGTGGTTCTCTGAAGAAACTCGTTCGTTCAAAATAACCTTCTTGAGATGCTCTGAACGGAATGGAAACCGCTTGAAAAAAATGAACGAACAAGCGAAAACCGTCGCGATCTATTCGAAAAAAGAAAACAAGAATTCTGAGGTAATACGGATGTCCAAAAGATATTAGAACTATATTTAGTATAATTTTTTAGACGCTTGGAATTTTTTAAACGCTTCTTGAGGTTCTTGTGCTCGAGATGTTCGATTAAAGACAAAAGATGCCGATAATTTCTCGTAAAGGCACGGAAAACGAATTTGGGTCAAGTAAAACTCGGTATCGTAAATAATAATTATTGTGCAATTAGAATAATGTACGTTACTGGCAAACTATGTTAATCATTTCTATACGGAGAGAGTTGTCATTATGAGGCATAATTTCAATGCGATAATGAGAATTAATAGATTGCTCGAAGATAAAAACGGTAAAATGCTCATCCATATGAAATTTTTTGCTAACAACGCTTTGCGGTTTGATAAAACGTTTAACAAGCGAGTTTATTCTGGATCTTAGGAATGGACTTCTATTTTTGTTTATCCCGAATAATAACGTTTTCAAAAATATGATAAAAATATTAACCCAAGCAGAACAACAAGTCATTATGATATCAAAATGATGTCAAAATAACTCCAAAATAATCACTAAAAGTCGAATTTTTCAATCATTTCCGATTCATTTTAATGTCATTTTGACCTGTTGTTCTGCTTGGGTAATATTTGTTCGCAAAATTGAAGGACATTTTTTAAGTAAAGGGCTTAAAAACAATCAACAAGCTTCTAAAGCTCCCTTTTATTCGTACGCGATCCATCGTGGAATCATTTAATATTGCGAATAATCCGGCGAACGCAAAATCTAAGAGAATCCCGGTGGACCAGTAATTCCTATGATAAGTTGACGTACCGTTGTTGCATCGTGAGAAAGTGACAGAGAGACACGCCCGCAACACGGCCAAAGTTGTGATTGAGACTTTAGTGCATCGGAAATAATGTGTAATTATGCCGGTAGCGGTTGCGATCCGTCGATGGTTAGCATTTGCATCTCGTCGTGTTAAATTATTACTTGGCGGTGTCGCCGACCGCGACGGTACGTTACATCGCGCCGTAATGATCGACCTGTACTTAATTAAGCGGTGACGCACACGCGACGGCAGTACGTATTACATACGACCGTTCAATTAATGAGCTCGTCTCAACGACGAGATTCGATACAGGTTTCTTTAATATAGAATGTAAGATTTTTGCAGAATTAGATATGTATGTAAATTCACATAAAAATATTTATAAAAATATAAAAGCATTAAGGTTCACTTTGATCGAATTTCTCTTATTTAATTAGATTTATTCTCAGCGGTCCAAATTTGTATTATATATATATATATATATATATGTCTGATATTGTATAGAGGCGCGAGCGCCGTTATTTTTCATTTTGCTACACTGATTGAAAAAGAATTTATTTTAGTACGGCAGATATTTATATTTAGCATTTACAATTATCCCTAGTCGACGACCTCCTACTTACTTTCGTAGGTGTCCTTGCTCCTTTTATCTCACGCTCCATTTCGAGAATTATACTTTCATGGATATAACGGCTAATCATATATCTATGCAAATTGTTCGTTGTGCTTGATTTATCGCTGAATCGTCTATATAAGTTCACATTTTGATAACCTTAACAACACGAGATCTCATTTCATCGGAAACTTATTTTCGTATCAATGCAAAACGCATCGTCTGCACGCACACACATAATCCATCGTAATGCGTGTGGGCGATAAAAGCATAATGTGTCGCAACGCGGTATCACGTTAGGAGTAGGAGTGGAATAATCGTGAACATCAAATCAATCTCTGTCGTATCATAAAATTAATTCTATCCTATATTTTCCTCATTTCTCCTGCATTCATTTCTCGGATGAGTCCCTAATCCTCTCTGTTCCTCGGACGCAAGAGGAACGAAAGGGCGAAAAAAAATTCGAAAACACTTGGAAATTTCCAGGACAAAAGAGAAGAGATGTATAAGAATAAGGCGTGAGCAATAAATCAGAGTTGAAGAGTTCCTATTTCTTTTTTCTCTCTTTCTTTCATGTCTGGAATTTAAATCAAAATATTAGATTGGTGCAAAAGATTCATATTTATCAAAATATGTGAAAAGCATAATTTCCAGAAAATCAGAACGAGAAATTATCACTATTAAATTCCAAAAAGAAGTTTTCACTTTTTAAGAAACTTTAGCTTCATTCTTATTTAATATGAAAAAAAAAAACGATAAATCTTTTGTAGCAAGCTAATAGATTGTAACTCTATTTTTTTTATAGAGTTTACATACGCGTGTAATTTTCGCGTGAGTTAGTAAAGTTGAGAAAGAGTATAGTTATTCAACTACATAACGATTACGCTGACACCATTAACCAGATTTCTCACGCTCGCGCGCAATTTGGTATCTTTTGATTTTTATCATACAAAAGTAATTTATTTATTAAATCTAATTATGATCTACGTTTAATAATTATTTATAATAATAATAATAATAATAATAATACATGTACAAACGAATAACGAGAAATAGTACAATTTTGGTAATTACAATCGGTAGACGGCAACGACGGCCAGGTTCTATGTACAGAAAAAGAGATTTCTGTCATTCCGCTGTTGCTGCGTCTCGATTGCACAAACTACTCGTCGCAAACACGCTCGTGCAATCCAAATTGAAGTCGTGAACGAAGCTTGTCCTCGGAACAACGGCATGGACGGAATATCAATTTCATCTTTCATCCTTTACGTCAGTGTTCGCAGCGATAATTGTTTCACACGATTAAACGATGATCCTTGAAAATCAATTCGATCGTGCGGAGCAAAGAGCAGCTCGTTATTAATATTAATAATCCTAATAAAAAGAACGGTGTTGCGTCATTATAAATCCTACTTGCCGAGTTTTTCCTAGCAATGACTCGACTTCAATTTCTTATTTCCGTGCAGTATCGTAAAAAAATATTATAGTAAAACATTCGTCAGCTTAATTGCCCATTCCATAATGATATAATGTCAAGGTAAAATAAAATAAATCTAAATATATAAACATAAAATTCTATCTTCCGATTAATTTATCAGCTAAGAAGTCAACAGTGAAGATTAAAAACCAGCGACGAAGCGCGGATCATTCGCAATTTGTTTTCGTCGGGAAGAGCTAAATTTTAAATTCACTAATAGATATTTCCGAGTTTTCTCAACTCAAATTTTTAACTCTTCTTCACGAAGGAAAGATCTGTCGATTCGTCACAATTACGTCTCGAGCAATAAGAGAAATAATGTCTACTCCACAGATCTCGAATTCGTCGCCGTTGCTCGCGATTAATTTGTACTCGCGCGACTCAACACCGTCTGACAAAACACCATCCCGAGAAGAAACACACGTAATATAAATAAATTTAATATACCGACTGTCCGCATGCGACCGATAAAATTCGTGTCTCATTGGGCAGCCCCTCTCCCTCTTCTCTCTCCCTTCTTCCCAAACAGAACAAGTCAATGTCATTTTGACATTAAAACGACTTCAAAATGACTTCAAAACGAATCATTGAAAGTCATTTTTCAATCATTTACGATTTGTTTTAATGTCAAAATAATGTTATCTGATGTCAAAATGATGTAACTTGTCCCAGACAACACATCCAAAAAGAAGACATAAGATGTCTTACAAAAATTTTTAAGACATATCTTGGGTGCATTCCGTTTTGCGCTTACAGCGCTTATAAGCATCATTTGTTTAATATTTGATAGACAACAAGGATGAATTGGTGCTTACAGCGTGTGAACGAAACCCCTTATGTCTCGATTTTGGACTTTTCGTTGTCTAGGGTTGTTCCGCTATTTCTTTCTCTCTTGCGAAATTGAATGTGGAAATTCTAATCGAGATATAAAGCACATGCCCGTCGCCTATAAGATAAGTAAGATTATCGTACAAGTCCTCGCGAGAGGGTACATTCGCACGCTACCCGGCGCGCGACTCGTCTCGCGGGGTGGAACTCCGAGCACTCGCGCACTCGTTTCGATTCCCTCACTTGTAACCAGTTGGTGAAAGCTCTACTTGCTGAAAGCAGGATTCAGCTGACCGGTCTTGGTGCTCGTCGCGTTCGCCGGCAATGGGTTGCTCAGGTGCAGCTTCTCCTGGCGCTTGGCGGCGCGTGCCAGGCACATGAGCGCGCCGAGCAGGACGATCGCGCCGATCACGGCCAGGGCGCCGGACACCGCAGCATGGGCCACTGGTGGCAAATCTACCGCCAACTTCAGCAGGGAACGCATCTCCGGGGGTAGTTCGTCGACGCACTGCGCAATAGAAAAGAATACATGTTATTGATATCGAGACTGGGTTTGGCTCCGTTCAACTGAAAAAGCTGCTTTACAACACTGAGAAAAATGGTCTGGTTGGATTAAACAGTAACTCTGGTGGAAAATGGACGAATCAGAATTTTCTGGTTATGTCTATTAGAATTCTAGTTGAGATTTTAGAATTCCGGTTATCTCAACTAGAATTCTAATAAATTTAACTAGAAATTTCTGATTCGTCCATTTTCAACCAGAAATTTTTTTCAGTGAACTATTGTAAAATTCTTTTATATGATTGGTTTATACATTTAGATCTAATAAGGAACTAAGGGTAAGATTAATCATATTAGAGAATTTTACAACAGTTTCAAAGCTGCCTTTTTACTAAACGTATTATAGCCTTGGTAAAAAAAGAGAAATGCCTCTGCTCAATTCATCTATCCTTAAATTTAAAAAATTAAGAAAGAAAAGCTAAGTAAGAAGAGCGCCATTTAAGATCAATGGAATAATACATATGTATTTAAGTAGTGTATAAAATTCGTTTGTAACGTTAATTCAACTTTAAGCAAGGCTTAAAATTCTCTTCTTCTCTGTCTCTCTTTCGAGAGAGTTCACTTTACAGAGAGAAAGAGAAAGAGAGGAAGGGAGAGAGAAAGAATTTTAAGCCTTGCTTAAAGTCAAAGTAACATTGGTGCAATTGGATTTTATTCCAACATCTGACTTTGACCGTAAATGGCGCTTCTCTTATTTATGACCGTTTCTACCAATGTAATTTAATTTTAACCTTGGTTTAATTAATTCTTTATTTTTCGAAGAATTAGAAGTTCCAAGCATTAATTCTATCAATGTAAGATTAACTTTGCATTGTTGTCTTATTCTGGTTTTGTTACTGGTAGGTTTTGTAACAGTAATTTTGCTGACGCCTAACCATTTGCAAGCTACTATCGTCTATTGTATTTATATTATGTTAACTATATCCTATTGTATCATATTTTATGTCTATTACTCTGTTAACATATAGTCTTTTACATATAAAGCTTTGCAATAAACTAAATTAAATTAAACTTTAATGTTAATTTAATTTACTCTTTACCTTCTTCTAATTTTAAGAATTAGAAAAAGATAACAATAGTTAAATCAAGATTAATCAAAGTTAATCTTACGTAGGTGGAACCGGTTTTAGTTGACGTAATTATATATTTGACGGACTTGTGTGTGTTTCTTATTATTGTTAAAAAAATTAACTAATTATTGTTGTTAAAAAAATTAACCTAAATAGATCGCCAAATTATTTTGAAAAATTTTTTGTCACCACTAATCATACATTTCGGTAAAAATTTTTTTTCAAATTATGTGTTTTTCTTAGCTTTGCATCACACTTAAACATTTAAATGTTTATAGGGTCAATCTTATAATTATATAATAATTCTGCATAACGTGTTCATCGTGATTTCTCTTCATTTTAAAGGCTTTTTTTTATTGAGTCTTTTTTTATCGTTTCGTAACATTTGAAAATATAATTACTAATATTGATCCTGCCCATTAAGGTAAAAATAAATTACTTTAGATCATTCTACTTATATATGTATATAGTAATATATTAATGCTTAAATTAATATGGATATATTCGTATGCTAATTCCATGGATATTTCTCTCCCTTAGGAAATATTTAAAATAAATAAGTTAAATTAAAAAAAAATACACTAAAATATGAAATTAAAAGAAAAATATTGGCTGCGATATACATTATGTATGAAGAATTTAAGAATTAAAGGACATCCAGTTCGGTCGGATTTTATTTGAAGAAAGCTGTCGACGGAGATGTAACCTCGAAACAAGAAGATCAATCTTCGTTTTCACGTTTGCTTCAGCGAGAACGTTTCTCAAGATGACCAAATCGAAGTTCCTCGCAGTCTCGAGTATGTGCCGTCTTGAGTACAAAGAAAATTCTCAGAGTCGGACAGTTTGTCCCCTCTCTTTTTTTTTCTTTTTCTCTCGTC